TACACACAGTAGCCAAAGTGTTAATAACAGCAACAGATACATAATTACTCTAAATGTGTTTTAATCCAACTGTTTTAATTAAATCAAAAATATAAAAGGTGTGTGAAACCTGACTTTTGCTTTTATTTTGAGAATAACTTTTTTATAATACATTATATCTCCTATTTGAACTGTCTGATTCTTACGTAAAGGAAATACAGAAAAAAGACTGAAGGTCATCATAACAAAACATAAAAGGTGAGGCCTTGAAGTATAAAATGTTATATAAAACGTTCTTGAGCAACAAGAAAAAAAAGTCAAATAATATACTTTATTGCCAGTTTAATTGCATATTTGTGGTATTCGTATTTATATGCATATTTATATGCAGGTATTAAAAACTAAGATTGTCCATTTTTTATGTATAGTGCAGTAACATTCTATTTATACTCAAACAAAATAATCTAATTTTTTTTACTTTTTGTTTAGACAGTAATTAGATAAAAAATATTATTTTGGTCGCAAATGGCTATCAAGTAAAGATACTCTTCTTTATAGTTACAGTGCCCGCTGTCAAAAAAGTTTAGGATAGATTTCCCCAAAATTTTGAGTATCGATTCATTAGACCGAGTCTGACATAGTGTTCCTTTACCACTTTTTTAATTTTAAATCATAATTTCTAATATAGTTCTGATAATCATTGGAAATACGCCATTCTCGTTCATTACCAACCGTTCCCAATTTGTTGTGGCAACCCTCCTCTCATCCTTCTCTAAGCCAACCATTACTTTGGTTTTCTCCTGAAACTGCTTACCTATATGTTCTACAAGCAGAGATAATAGAGTTGACCTGGGAAGATTTCATTCGCCTTGAATCGGTGTCCTGTTCATCTTAGACCCATCTACTATTTTTTTATGTTTTGTAGACCTCAATATTATATCTTCTTCTTCAAGTGCCATCTCTGCGGCGGAGGTTGGCAATCATCATAAGCATGGAAAGACCTCAAAAAAAGGGTAGATGACATAAAAGCAGTGTCAGGCAAACAGTGGATTAGATTGGCGCAAGATAGAAAAAGATGGAAGCAATTGGGAGAGACCTACATTCAGGAGTGGATGGAAAATGTTTGACAAAGAGAGAGAATCGCCAACTAAATAAATAGTTTTTGCCTATCTCAGGAAACACAAATATTTAGCGTAAAAACGGTATTCCACGTTGAATTGGTTCGCGTTTTTATATTTTGTCTTTTTCTATTTCTCTTTGTCGTTGAAGAACGTCACTCTACATTGTGTCAGATCGCACCTTTATGGAAAGGTCCCAAATTACCCATGAGAAATTTAAAATGCAATAAGTTCTTCATGGAGTTTACTGTTTTAACTATGTAAAACAGATATTTACATTCTTTATAGTAAAAATATAGATTACCCTTTAATTTCAATCAAAAACTATTTTTGTGCCGTCAATGTTCAATAAAGATCATAAATAAAACGCAAAGGTTTAGAATTATTGTTGTCTAGAAGGTGTGGCATAAGTATGCTAGTGAAATGGTCATAGAAAAGTTAATAAACCTAAAAATTTATTCATTTTACGTAAAATAATTCGCACTTTTAAAATATGTAAATATTATTTTGCATTCCTAATGTTATATAAGCATATGTCAAACGTTTGTAATTTCTTTGGTTTCCGATTTATCCACGCAAAAATATGTCTTCATTAATATTACATTGTACTGTCTATTTTTATTCATAAACCATTCGGGTGAATTAATCGTGACCATCAACAAGATATTCTCAAGATTTTATATTTAGGACAAAATTCAAAATCCATAAAAGATCGGATTATTTACAAAAAAAGTGACTGTAGATTACACCCATACAGCTGTTCTCTTCCTACACATATACATGAAAATGACCACAAAACTATAACAAGAGAATCTTTCAAAACTTTATTAGTTCATTATGAATTATGAAAAAGAACAGGAAAGGTTACAACGTTTATTTGATGAAGTTTTAAGTGATGAACTAAGCGATCCAGACGTAGATCCAGAAGACAGTGAGGAAAGCCTTTTAGAGGATAACGTAGAAGAGCAGTTAATTTATAGTGACACGGAAGATGATTTAACTGATAATGAAAATGATATTAGTAATAGTATGTTTGTTACGAGACATCGAGTACCTTGTTTTATAGCCAAAGATGTATCCAGATGAGAAAAGCATGTTAACGAAAAACCAAATGGTAAAACTCGCCAGCATAATCTTATAGCACATTTACCTTATATTAACCATATATAATATGGTCATATTTCTTTCCAAATAATATTTTGGAAAAGAGTGCAATATACAAATAAATTTATTGTTTCGAAAAAGTATGATTCCATACAAAATAGAATCTACAAGACTACGGATCTAACTGAAATTAAAGCTTTCATAGGGTTGTGGTATATATCCGGTGCAAATAAAAGTGCCCGTCAAAATTATCAAGATTTGTTTCGCACCAATGGCATGTCCATGGAAATTTACCGGTTGACCATGCCTGAACGAAGATTTCAATTCCTTCTTACCCACATTCGTTTTGATAGCAAAATAACTAGAGAAGTAAGAAAAGAGACTGATAAATTTGCCGCCTTTAGAGATATTTTTGAAGAATTTGTTTCAAACCTTCCTAAACATTTCATTCATCAACATACCTAACATTAGATGAAATATTAGGTAGGATTTAGAGGGCATTGTTTATTTCGGTTTTACATCCCTAGTAAACCAAACACGTATGGAATTAAGATTTATGCACTAGTTTATGCTAAGTTGTACTATATTTATAAATTGGAAGTATATCTTGGCAAGCAGCCATTGGGTCCGTTTTATGTAGATAATTCGAACTTATCTTTAGTCAGCCATATGATTGAGCCAGTTCGTAATTCTAATTGCAATATTACCATAGATATTTCTTTCACAAGGTTAGCTGTAGCGAAAAGTTTACAGGAATTTAAGCTTATTTTTAAAAAACTAAACCACAAATTCGTGCAGAACTAACTTCTCCGAAACGACCAGAACATAGTTCCATGTTTGGGTTTCAAGAAAAAGCTACTCTAGTTTCCTACATACCTCGTAAAAACAAACATGTAATATTATTATACACAATGCATCACGATGACAATATCGATAAAAAGATAGGTAAACCAGAAATGATTGTAAATTATAATAAGACTGAAGGTGGGGTAGATACTTTTGATCAGATGTCTGAGGCATATAATTATGCAAGATCAACTCGACGTTGGCCTCTGGCCTTATTTATTGAACTGATGAACCTAGCTGCAATTAACTCTTATATTATTTATAAAATCAATACTTAGTCATCTATGAGGCACCGTGTATTTCTAGAACTGCTGGGGTATGAATTAGTCCAAGAATACCTTTTGCGAAGAGCCCAGCAAGATAACCTCCCAGGGCTCTTCGATTGCGGCTAAAGGAAATCATTGGTTTCAAAATAAAATCCGTGGAAGATGTAAAGATTGCGAAACAAAAAAACTGTAAAACTAGGTTTAGGTTTGAAGATTGCAACGGATTTATCTTTCTAGAACATTCGCATGGACTGTGTGGTGACTGTTTTCATGACCATAATGTAGATGAATAATTTCAGTTTATTCTTGACGGTAGCTTAATGTTAGTATCAGTATTTTTTACTTTAAATGTTACTCTTTATTAACAGAAATGTTTTTTGTTTAGCACTTTTTTTCAACTTCTTTTACTAGTAAGATACTAGTTAAAAAACAACCCACAAAAAGTTATTCGTAAACAAAATTTGTTGTTAAAGGTTTAAACCTTTCAGCCATTTGTTAAAATTAAAAAAAGAAATTTTTACTGTTATTCTAAGAAAATTATACTGTTATGATTTTGATCGTTCTGGTATCAATTAACTTTAATCGATATCGCAAAAATGAAATAACTGTTATGAAATTAACATGTGTGATTGCAACGTCTTCAGTTCTATGTTCACAAGAAACTGTCAAAAGAAAGTGAATTAACAATATTATTTATGATGAATTATCTTTATCATTATTTTATCAAAAATACAGAATAAAACTGTAATTATTTATAAAGTTAATGTTTAATTTTAAACCATATTTTTTTCATTCTCAATATAAAGTAGTTTGCCCCCGGCATTTTTATCGACCTTTCAATCGTAAACAAAATCAAACCTTGTAAACATAAACTAAGGAATGAAGTTCACCTATTTAATTACCACCTTGATCCGGACCTGCAAAATTGATACACGACATTTATACGCAAAATACGAATTACCCAGTGAATTGCTTCACATCTTCTCTCGTTTACATTCCTCAAGTAACATTGGAAAGCGTACACTCAGAACTTCCTTGGCGCCACAAAAAAATAAAATACTGACACACAACCACTCAATAATTGGCACTAAATCATTTATTTTCAGACGACATTTATTTCTTAACATTAACTTTATGCTATAAACGAATAACGACGAAAATTTCGTCGTTATTAAATGTTCTCGTTGCATATGTCCTGATTTTTTATGTTTGCATCATTATGTTCAATCTGGCAAGAGAATGCATATTACAGATATTTAAAAATATCTTCAAAGGGGTACACGATAGTACAATAATTAATTGTAGAGTATTATGAAAAAAGATTAATAGCATTAATAAAAAAATAATGTACTATTCTAATTAAAAACAAATACAGCCCAGAGAGAGCCCACTTTTTGGCAACTTACGTCTGAGGCACAGAATTCTTTTAGCAATAAATTGTGACTAAGGCTGCAGAACTCATTGGTGGGTTTGTTTTGGGTCTGTTTACAACTATTATTATTTTGTCTGTTCTTTTTCTTTTCATAATATGTTCTATTTTGAAACTAATGAAACCAGTTTCGATATTTGTGTAAAATTTTGCAAGCAATAATTTTTATGGCTTTTTTTTACTCGTTGCAATTTATGATTTATGGTTTATTATTTTTGAATTTACTGTTACCTCTATATTCGATTTTTTAATTTTCAGGTATGGTGAAAAACAGGGACGAAGAGCTAGTCAAGTAGAACTCTCAGGAATCCAACTGCTGTCAGCTACAGCCTACCAACTAAAGAAACCCTACCAACAACTATTAATTCCGATTACAGTATGGATTGGTATGGAACAAGCCTTTATAGGAGCAGACTTCACGCAAGCATACGTTTCATGTGCGCTTGGTATTCCTTCAGTGGGCTACGTCATGATTTGCTTCGGCTGTGTCAACGCTATTTGCAGTCTTCTCTTTGGATCCATTATGAAATACATTGGTAGAGCACCTATCATGGGTCTTGGACTTTTAGTTCACGCAGGTTTGCAAACTTGGATGTTGATCTGGAAACCTCATCCCGATACTCCTTATCAGTTCTTTATGGCTGCCGGTCTCTGGGGTGTTGGAGATGCTGTATGGCAAACTCAAGTCAATGGTAAGTGCAAAACGTTTTACACCACATATTACTAAATATTAATATATACGTAGATATATTCCGTAAAGAAAATTGGAATTTATATAATTGTTTTATTCTATTGCTAACTGTGGAAGTTAGTGGATGAAAGTATTTTGTTCTGTGGTGACAGAATTTTGCTTCAACCGCAATTTCATTTCTACATAGCTGCTAATTTCTAGTACTAACTACTTCTTCTTTCCTTCATTATAATGAACCGTAACAACTACCCTAACTAAAGTACATTTTTGACAATGACGTTGACATTGACGTTTTTATGAAGGACCGATTTTAAATATTTGTCAGTCAATTTTATGTGATTTCTTCTTAGAGTAATTATCACTTAATGAGGCATTTATCTTATATACTTTAGAAAGAAAGATATATGTTAATATCCGAGCTGAAAAACCATCAAAATTTTATCCTATTTGCCGATACACTATCGATTGAAATAAAAAGAGAGGCGTTTGGCAAGGAGGGAGATCCGTTATCCCAAAACTATTTAATAACCTATTGAAAGACATGTTTAAAACTTTAAACTTGCAAAATGTGAAAATAAATATGAACTCTATATAACCAACTCAAGATTTCGAGTTTATATAATTACGCTATCGAAAGGATCTTGTAGCCAGTTTTTCCGGGCAGTCCTTTTCAGATCATCTGTCCATCTCATAGGAGGTCTGCCTCTGGGTCTTTTGTGTTGGTATGGTCTCCAGGTTAAAATTGATCTGTGCCAATTGTTTAGATCGCTCCTAGCTACATGTCCAGCGTATTCCCATTTCAACTTTAATGATTTTTGCACCACATCGGTGACTTTGGTTTTCTGTCTTATCCATGTGTTTGTTTTCTTGTCCTTAAGTGATATACCTAGCATTGCTCTTTCTATCGCGTGGTGAGTGACTCTAAGTATATTCATATTCTTTTTTGTGATTGTCCATGTTTGTGCCGCATAAGTTAATATCGGAATAATGCATGCATCAAAACTTTAGATCTAAGATGTAAATGAATTTGTTGATTTCTGAGTATATAGTTCAGTTTACCGAATGCTGCCCAAGCTAACTTTTTTCTTCTTTTTATTTCTTCAGTTTGAATTTCCCTATTTAGGATTATTTTTGTCCTAAGTATATATATTCTTCAACTTTTTCTATAACTTTATCGTTTATTATTGTCACGGTGTCTTCGGAGTGCATGACTTTTGTTTTGTTTAAATTCATTTTCAGTCCTATTTTAGAAGATTCGGTATGTAGTTCTAAAAGCATGGTTTGCATTTCTTGTAGGTCAGTAGCTATCAGGATTATGTCATCTGCAAATCGTAGATTACTGAGGTATCGGTGATTGATGTTTATTCCCTTATATTTCCAATTTAGGTTTTTAAAAACGTCCTCCAAAACTAAGGTGAACAGTTTGGGTGATAAAGTATCTCCCTGTTTGACTCCCCTGTTTAATGGTACAGGGTTCGTGTGTTCATGTTCATTTAGGTAGTATGTAGCTGTAGCTTAGTTCATAGTTTCTTTTATTAAGTTAATATATCTGCTGTCTATTCTACAATTTTGCATTGCGTTTATTACGGCCGTGTGTTCTATGGTATCGAAAGCTTTTTCGTAGTCTACAAATGCTAGGAAAACTGGAAACTTGTATTCGTTACATTTTTCTATTAATATTTTTGTGGTTAACAGGTGATCGGAAGTTGAATAGCCTTTTCTAAAACCTGCCTGTTCATATGGTTGGTATTCGTCTAATTTCCTTGTTAGTCGAGTAGTTATGACTTTGGTGAGTATTTTAAACAGGTGTGAAAGTAGGCTGATGGGTCTGTAATTTTCCAATTTTCGACCATCACCTTTCTTGTGTAATAAGATTACTTTAGAGTTGTTCCAGCTCTTAGGGATTTTGCCTTGATGTAAACAACTGTCCACAAGCTTAGTTACAATTGCAATTAGTTCCTTACCTCCTTCTAAGATTGAAGATTATAGAAGACAAAATACAGCCTTGCCTCACGCCACGCATGATTTTCACATAGTCAGTGTGTTCACCTTCAACTCTGAGATTTGCTAAGATTTCTAATTATTTTCAGATCTTGGTTGTTAATTCCTGCTTCTTTCAGTATTTGCATCATCTTGGCGTGCTGGACTCGATCAAATGCTTTCTCGTAATCAACCAGACATGCGTATACGTCGCAGTTGACGTCTCTGCATCTCTGGAATAAGACTTTTACTGAGAACAAAGCCTCTCTACTACCAACAGCATTTGTGAAGCCGAACTGGTTGGGGGAAATTTGACTTGCACACAGCTTGTAGATTCTGTTATGGATTATCTGTAGAAACAATTTTAGGAGATGACTCATGAGACGCTTATTATCAGTATACAATAATCTAACAATTCATTACATCTATAAAACTACATTTTTCACGATTTTACTAAGTACGCGGAATTCATTTATAACTATTACATACGGTAATAATAAGAATTAGCAGAGTAAGTTAATTACCGTATTTTTATTCTTCTTTGTTACAAAACAACTAAACAGCTTAGTAATTAAATTTATAGTTTCATATAAAATGGGCTGTTGCATGAAATAAGTAGATATTTTTTATTGTCCCATTATTGTGGAAATACCGATTTCTATATTCAATAGAGCATTGTTAAAAATATTTATAATATATGCGGATAAATATTTAATTTCATATATAATTATACAGGGTGGTCCTTAAGTAATTGTACAAAAAAAATGGTAGATTCTACATTTTAAAATATTACGATTTAAGCCAACTTGCTTTAATAAAATGTTCAGATTAAGAAAGATACAGGATTTTAAAAGTTAAAAATTAAAATTTTATTTTTCGCTATAACTTTCACGTTCAGGACATTTATGTATAAAAATTTATAACTGGACGCTTTAGAGTATGAGCTTTTAAGTATTTATGCCACATATGTGGCATAAAATTGCGCTTGCTGGCGAGCTGATTTCGAGCATAATTTCTGGTTGTCCACCAACTACAAGATGCCTCGTTTTTTGTATGTTTATCTTGAATTTAACCACCATTTGGTATTCTTTTTCTTCTAGTGCCGTCTCGACTAATGAAGGTTGGCTATAACCATTGCAAATTCGTCTCTATCTGCTGCTTTTCTTAAGAGCGTCTGTGTGTTTAACCCGGTCCACTCGTGAATGTTTTCAGCCAGGATATTTGTTGTCTACCAGGACCCCTTTTTCCTTCGATTTTACCCTTCATAATCAGCTGCAACAACTCGTACTTATCATTTCTAAGTATGTGCCCCAAATATGCTCTTTCGCGTATTAATGGTGGTCAAAGGTTTTCTGTCGCTTCCCATTATGTGCAACACCATTTCGTTAGTAATATGATCGGTCCATGGTATCTTGAAAATTCTCCTAAAAAGCTACATCTCACAAGCTTACAGTTTTCTCATTAAGTCAACATTAATAGTCCAGGCTTCGACACCATAAAGAAAAATAGAGTGGATATAACATTTTACCATCCAATATAGGATTTGCAGATTGAGTCTTTGGTTACTCAGAAATTTCCTCATCTTCAAAAAGGGCGGATGTAATTTCGGCCGGAAAAAGGGCAGGTACTAAAAGCCGGTAGGTAAATTCGGCCGGAGGTTTTAAGTTGCTTCCTTATCTCATAGGTATTTTCGGCCGCAAATCAAATAAAATAACAGAATGCTTTATATTAAAATATTTCTTTATTTCAATAAAATTATTACATCAACTTATTTCTGTAACTTAAGTAAACTATAAATTTTTAAAAAACGTGTTGATGTGATACAGATTTAACGAAATTAATTCTAGAAATATTGTCAGATCGAAGCATATTTACCATGTTTTCGATAAATTTTAGTTTGTGTTTTACTTGTTTGCCTTTAATTTTTGCTGGAATATTTAAATTTTTTATTTTTAAATATGCATCGATCTGACAATCTTTTAATTTTTCTATAAAAATAAATATAGAAGGGTGACTTGAATAAAAACTAGAATTAAAGTGCGAATGGAATGATTCGCAGGCATCTGTGGTTCTTTTAATTGATGGGTTTTCATATGCCCATATATTTGGTGGAAAATGAGATTCTGGCGCTATGTAGTTTTCTAATAAATAGTCTGCGTATTTATCTATAAGTTTATGGTCCGGTTTGTATGACATGAGATCAAATATGAAACAATCTTCAACTTCAGAGGGGTCTAAATAAGTTAGCCCAAAAGTATGAGTAAGCCATTTGCTTTCCTCGCAGTTTTTATCTTTATACATTTGGGTTAACCCTAATGATTGTATTTTCCTATACCACGCCTGGTGCAAGTGGAATCTACAACCATTTAGTTTGGTTTTGGGAAAGACTGTTGTACAAATTTCTTCTTATTAGACTGACATCTATCGATGACAAATTCTCTGGCAAATGATTTGAAAGAACGCTTTTAATAATTTTTGAAGGTTTCTCCGATATGTCTTCCTCAGCTTTGCGCTTGCATGAAGTCGTCACTATTTTTCTCTCCAACGTAATTTCATCGGACTCATGGTTGTGGATTAATTCACTTCTAGTAACTGTATATTCCGCACCAACAGTGTACAGTTTGGCTAAACATCTTAAATTTTTCTTTATACACCTCCAACGTACTTCACCACTTTTTAATACGTCCTGTTTACAAAACTGAAACTTTTCTACAACTAGTAAGTCACAACCGCGTGAACTCTTAATTACTGAAACAGATGCCATCGTATGCAAATAATATATTTAATGCTTTCTATCGACTAGTAGCTTCAAGATAAGTTTTAATACTGACTAGCTATAATAATTTTATACCTGTTATTTGTGAATTTTACAGCGGCGTAATTTCCGACAGGTACACAGGATTAGGTATTTCCAAATAAATACACAATTAATATTTTACAGAAACTATTAAGCGTAATTACCAATATTTTAATCTCATCGTAAACATCAAGCCCTCGGCCGAAATTACCCCTGTCATAAATAGTACCCCTTGATTTATGCAGGTAGGCCAAGGGATTACCGGCCGAAATTACGCCCGCCGTTCAAAAAGGCTGCTCTTGATTGTTCTATTCTTGAACGAATTTCTGATTTCGGATTCAGATCTTCCGTAATCCAGACAACCCTGTCTCACTCCTCTACTTATCTGTTGCGCGTCCGTGCTATTTCTATCTAATGTTACCACAGCCATTTGATAGATATATTCTTCGATAAACTTCCTGGTCATGAATTATTTGGTCATTTAATGTATTTATTGATTTTCTTACATTTTGTTTGGCAACTCATTCTTCTTCTTCTTTAGGTACCATCTCCTCTAAGGAGGTTGGTAATCATCACAGCTATTTTTACTTTTGAGATTGCAGCTCTGAACAAGCCGACGGAACTGCAATTATACCACTTTCTCAGATTGTTGAGCCAGGAGATGCGTCTTCTTCCAATACTTCGTTTTCCCTGTATTTTTCCCTGCATTATGGTTTGTAGCAACACATATTTATCCCCTCTCATAACGTGGCCGAGATACTGTAACTTTCTTATCTTAATCGTATTAATGATTTCCATTTCCTTTGTCATCTTTCTGCGGACCTCAACATTTGTTATTTGGTCTACCCAACTTATTTTTAATATTCTTCGGTAGGTCTGCATCTCGAATGCTTCAAGTCGATCGCCCATCTCTTTCTTTAAGGTCCAGGCCTCCACCCCATACAGCAGCACCGAAAACACATAAGAACGTAATATTCTTATTAAAGGGAAACGATGGGGTTATTTTCAACGTTCCCTGAGAGCACCAAAATCCTCGTGGTGACCTGTCTTGATTTGTTACAGGATTTAAGCGTAGGTTGCTGATTCGTTTTGTTACTCTTGCGGGGGTGAAATTATACACTTACACTTTACTTTTTCGCTTTATTTTACTTGCAAACTATTTTACATATATACACCTTGCACTTTGCAACACTAAACTGACTTATAATATAACTTGTAATATATTAATATATCTTATTGTGTGATACGGGTGAGAGAGAAACGAGGAGAGAGAATAACTTATTTAGCGACTTCTTAACTTGAACTACCTAATGCGACTGCCCTTATATGCTTGTATGCAATATGTGGCCAGCTTGGGCAAATGACAAAGGGTCAGCGGGTGTATGAGGGGCGTCAAATGCACTGAAGATTTCTGGTTCTTTTAACTAATAAGGGCTAACATGTGTTATTCAGGAACAGAGGCGGCGTTAGGTTAAATTAAAACAGTTAAAGAATTAGTTGGTTTTCCAACACTTATTTTGAGTTGCAAACTAAGGTTTCTACTGCATAATACCTTGCTCATCTTATTAAATGTTGCTCTAGCTTATCCAATTCACATTTTTATTTCTTCTGTATACTCGTTATTTTCATTAATAATTGTACCAAGATATCTGTATTTTTTACTTTTTCTATTAGAACTCCTCTTATGTTTAAAATGTCTTGTTGTTGTGTTTTGGAAATTATTATTTTGTTTTATTAGCACTAAGCGTTAGTCCGCTTTCCTCACTAGCATTTACTACATTCTCTAAAAGTGTCTGTAGATCTTGTATATTCTCTGCAATTAGTATAGTATCATCGGCATTTCTGATATTGTTGATGGGTCTGCCGTTGACTTTTATTCCAATTGTTACATTTTCGAGTGATTTTTAATTATTTCTTTTGAATATAGATTGAACAATAAGAGGGAGAGTATGCAATCTTGCCTTATGCCTCTTTTTATCTCGACTTCCTCCGAAAGTTCTTTGCCGACTCTGACTTTTGCTGTTTGGTTAAAGTAGAGATGAGTTATTATTCTTAAGTCTTTTTTGTTAATATGTTTATCTTTAAGTAACTGTATAAGACGGTTGTGTCGGACTTTATCGAACGCCTTATTGTAATCAATAAAGCAAACATAGAGTGGTTGGTTTACATCCATACAGCTTTGCATGAGGACGTTAAATCCAAATAATGCCTCTCGTGTACCCATGGTATTCCTAAATCCAAATTTTGTTTCAGTGATGTCTTGTTTCACTTCTCTGAAAATTCTTAAATGGATAATTTTTAAGAATATTTTTAGTGTGTGACTCATTAGACTAATTATACGGTGGTCATTACATTCTCTTGCATTAGGTTTTTTTGGTAATGTAATAAATGTTCAACGAATATACAGAGAATGCGAAAGAAACCTTAGCGACAATCAATTTGGATTTCGTATGGGGCTTGGTACAAGGGAGGCATTATTTGGCCTCCAGGTATTACTACAAAAATGCCGAGATCAGCGAAAAGACGTCTTTCTCTGTTTTATCGACTACGAAAAAGCGTTTGATCGAGTTAAACACACAGAACTCATAGAAACCCTAACACAACATGGTATAGACCATAACACTGTAGCACTTATTAAAAAACTATATTGGGATCAAATGGCATCTATCAAAATAGACAATCGTCTGACAGCAGAATTGCCAATAAAAAGAGGAGTTCGTCAGGGCTGTGTACTTTCTCCACTGTTATTTAATATATATTCCGAAAAGATCTTTCAAAATGCCCTCGAAAATATTGAAGAAGGAATAAAAATCAACGGAGAATACGTAAACAACTTAAGATACGCAGACGACACCGTCATTATTGCGGACAGTGCTGAGGGTTTACAACGACTTTTGAATGTCATAACCAGAGAGGGAGATAGCTTGGGACTAAATATAAACACAAATAAAACAAAAGTGATGGCTGTTACACGTACACCAAATGTCGACATTAATATTCGTATCTATAACAAACATATAGAACCAGTACAAAGATTCCAGTATCTTGGTTGCTGGATAACAAACGATCTTGACCACGAGGTCGAAATACGTGCTCGTATAGAATATGCTAGGTCCGCATTTCAGCGAATGAAAAAATTTCTAATAAACTCTACGTTATCGTTGGACATCCGATACCAATTTGTAAAAACGTTTATTTATTCCATATTGCTATACGGAGTGGAAACATGGACTCTCGGAATTACAAGTATGAGGCGTATAGAAGCCTTTGAGATGTGGGTTTTTCGAAGAATGCTGAAGATCTCTTGGACAGAGCACGTGACCAACAACGAGGTGCTAAGAAGAATGGGTACTGACAGAGAACTCCTAAATATTGTAAAAAACCGAAAAACGAGTTATTTAGGACATATCTACAGAGGAGAAAAATACAACTTCCTACGACTTATAATGGAAGGGAAAGTGGAAGGAAGAAGAGGTCCAGGAAGAAGAAAATGCTCCTGGTTGAAGAACATAAGAGACTGGACAGGCATGGACACACATGCGATACTAAGAACAGCTCAAGATAGAGAGCAATTTGCTGTAGTTATAGCCAACCTTCAGTAATGGAGAAGGCACCTTAAGAAGAATAAATGTTGATTTGAGGCCAATCTCTCGCAATAATACCCGTATTATATATAGTATTATATAAGTCTACTAATACATTGATCTGATCTTCTGATATTAATTTAATTATTTCAGTTGGAATTGTGTCAGGCCCCGCAGTTTTATTAGATTTTGCCAGATTTATTGCATGTATTATTTCATCCTTAGTTATATTTGGACTTATATCATGTTCCTCGCAATTGTTTATGCTATCTTGTTGTGTCCTGTCATCCTCAAACAATTCTTGGACGTATTCTCTCCATCTGTTTAGTTTGCCTTTGACATCTGATATTATTTTACAATTTGTATTAACCAGGGTGTTACTATTGTTGGACCGTCTTATACCTGCGTGTGTGGCTTTGTATTCGTTTACATTTTTGTTTTTGTATGATCTTCTTTTGTCCATTAGTTGCCGGATCTGATCTGTCATCCATGGAGTCTTAGCTTCATCGATTTTGTGACTACTCAGCGTATCTTTAGTTGGCATCATTAATGTGTTCTTAACTTTTTCCCATTTTTCGTTGGAATCTTCATTATCATTGATTATTGTTGTGCTTACCTCCTCGTTAATTTTCAACGTTAGTTCTCCTTTTATACTCGGCTGTTTTAGCAGACTGCTTATTTGTTGTGTCTTTTGTTGTTTTTTTATTTTCTTGAAGTGGATTTCGAATTTTACGATTACTGGATTGTGGTCTGATGACACATCTGTTCCTGGATATGTCTTTGCCGATTTGATGGAGCTACAGTATCTCTTATTGATAGGGATATAATCTATCTGGTTTCTGATAATTTTTTCTTTGCTATCCTTAGGTGATTTCCAGGTATATAATCTACGTAGTGGTAACTGAAAAAAATGTATTTGTCGCCATCATTTCAAACTCCTGACAGAATTCCATCAGTCTTTCCCCTCTTCCGTTTCTTATTCCTAGCCCGAATTCACCAATAATGTCTTGGAATTTACCTTTTCCTAATTTGGCATTAAAATCCCTCATTGTTATTATTATATTTCTATAATTGTTGCTTTCTAGTGCTTTTTTAATGTCATTGTAGAACTCTTCTATTTTATTTTCATTTTTATTTGCAATGGGGCGTACACCTGTGTGATATTAAGAGTTCTATGCGCTGCTGTTTGGGATGTGATCATTAACACTCTATCCAATATAGGAACAAAACAAGTTACAGCTTGACAAAAACTGCGATCAACCACTATAGCGACGCCATTATAGTGGTGAATATCTTCATTTCTTGAATAGTATATTTTGGCATCGTCGACTTCGATTTCGCCAGATCTAGGCCATCTGGTCTCGCTTAGTCCCATTATATTAACTTTAAGTCGCCGCATCTCATGTATTACATTATGGATCTTGTAATCACTGTAACTCATTGGATATTATAAAATTATTGTATAAAATGTGCTCTGAACTGGATAAATTGTCATATACGTTTTGTTGATCTATTCTCTTCTACCTCAAAAGTATTTAGTTAAAAAAGAAAACGTTTTAGTTGTTTGAAAAACTTTTACTTATGTTCTTTATTATTGTTTTAGGTTTATACGGTACGCTTTTCCGTCGTAACAAGGAAGCCGCCTTCTCCAACTACCGTCTTTGGGAGAGTGTGGGCTTCGTCATCGCTTACGCCTACTCAACACACATCTGCGCTCGTATGAAGCTATACGTGCAACTGACCATCCTCTTGTCAGGATTCTTACTCTATGTCATCGTCGAAATTCACCATCTTCACAAGATTAGAAGACAGAAGGAGAAAGAGAGGAAAGCAGCTGAAGCAGCCAAGAACAAGGAAATTCTTCCGCCAGAACCGGAAGAAACTGACGACGAAAAAGACGATATTGATGACGAGATTATTGTTACGCACTTGTAAATTAAGTAAGTATTTATAAAAGCAATAAACTTTAACTTTTAATCTTGCATATAATTTAAATATTAAAAATGTCATTATTCGATAGCACTTCTGTCTATTTAGGAAGCACTGTCAGAAATATTTGACCGCCATTAAGTTCTTGCTGGTTAGAGAAGTTAATAAAGCTTTAATCAATAATCTTTTTCGCCATTCCCCAGTTCTTTGTGTGTTTTCTTTATTATTTCTCTTTTTTTTTATTCTTTCACTTTAACTTCTTATTCAGACAATACCGAAGCCTTATTTGCTCTTTTACCTGTTATCTGTCTATTACTTGTTTGGTTATATTATTAAGTTTATTTGTGTCCTGCTGGGTCTAATATTTCTATCAATGTTAGTCTCTACTTAAGTCATTTTCATACCTTACTGTATTTAACTGAATATGAGTTCAACATAGTGATTAAAAATATATGAATAGTTATAAAAGTAAACTAATATTTTGTGTTTTTTTCAGGCATTCCAGTTTTGCAAGAGGTTGGTCAGCGTTGCGAGAAGGGACCATTACGGATATATTGCCTCATTTTTTATACAATGAAGAAAACAACAGGAATCAGCCAGTAACTTATCAGTATTTGTTGAACAAGAAAGGATTTCCAACGTGGAACCTTGAATCGATAGTTAGAAAGTTGTTACTTGTGTATATTGTAGAATATCAGTATCTTGATTAGAGTTCAAAGTGTGTTGTTACAAATCATAAAAGATGAAGCAATGAAAACTGTTAATTGTATGAATGATGATTATGAAGTTAGTATATTATATCCAAAACCAGTTTCATCTCAGTTTTAATTTGACTTATTAATCGTTTTTATGCCTTTGTGTTTAGTCTTTACTCATGAACACATAAGTATTGTAGCCATTTTCCGAACAACTTATTCTGTCTACTTCCCCATTAGTTAAAAGTTCCTAGTCTTACTACGTTTATTAGATCACAGATAATAGTACTATAGTAGTCGATACATCACTTTAAGATGCACCACACTAAAAATCTTCTTAAACAGCTATACATGTCTGTCATCTGATAGTCCTTTAAAATATTTTTGAACTCAACCATATTGGTGAAGATCTACACTGCTCATTGCCTTATAGGTAGATATATTGATATTTTGGAAGTTAACTGGGTTATTTCTTAATGCGTTGTATGCTTATATTCCCTGTTAATAGTATTTGCCTATAAATTTAACTTCGAAATGAGATATAGAAACGCTAACCAGAGTGCCATTTTAACAAAAAGTTCTTGAGTAAAGAAAGTATTTGCACCAATATTTTTTTCAAATAACTATTAATCTTCCGTAGAGTATATGAGACTTCTACAAAGTATTTTGGAGTCTCAACCAGTAACTTTATGTTGTTATTCAAATATTATTTATATATATTTTATTTTTCTGATAATTTTAGAAAATGTGTACAGTAAATATAAATAGATATTTGTTAGATTGTACAATATAGAAGCTAAGTATTCAAATTGTAAAGTAATCAGTATTTTAAAAGCAATACTGTAGAAATAAATTCTTTTAAATTATTATTACATTCTTTTACTATATACATACCCTATTATGTCCATTTCCGGTAGACAAACTGAATTAAATTTTTTTGTTGATACTGCAAATTTCTTGCACTAGCGCTTTAACAAATTATGAAGGAAATAGTGTGATTAATTTTGCAGTGGCATTTAATTTGACTGTGGCTATGATTAAATGACGACAATTTATTAAAGTTGAGACCATCGTCCGTCGGCAAAGTCGAACAAAAATATTATTATAACTTCCAGACCAGCTTTTACCACCTTTAGTCCAGACAAATTAATATATCTATTTAATATATTTTTTACCACCAAAAATGAGATGTTTTAACCAAATAATGCTTGAAATATAATGTGCAGAAAAATTTTGAATTACGTTCCACTAATGAACTTGCTGTTTTGTCCTTAAAAGTAGAAAAAAGTTTCAATTATATTGCTTAATATTTTGTCTAAATATAATCGTCTAACAATTTTAACTGTACTAATGCCCAAGCATCAATTTTCAAGTTTTAAACTGATTGATTTATGAGGAGTAAAAAAATGTAATACCAACAATTGATATAATAATATACCAAGCTTTTGCATTCCGCAAAAAACAGACGTCTGACCTTAAGATAATTCGCCAACGCACTATAGGTGCACGGCACTATAAGAAGAAGAAAATACCAAGCTTGTTGCGATGGGAAGAAGCTGTCCTAAAACCACTTTACGTAGACAGCTGAAAAAACTTGGGCTCAAATACAAAATCGTTGATAAACGGGTAGCTATTATGGAAAGTAAGAGGATAGTACACTAACGTTTAGATTATTTAAAAAAAATTCAAGAATATCGAGACCAACAGCGGAGTATATATTATTTAGACGAGACATGGTATGACATGCATGATACCGCTAGCAAGGGTAGGACTGTTGGTTCACTTAGGTAACAGTTGAAAGGAGTAACTCCGGTTAAAGGTTGTCGGATGATTATTGTGCTCTGTGGATCTGCAAATGGTTGGGTGCCAAATGGGTCAATGCTTTGAGGAAAGAAAATAGAAAAATGTAGTATAGATTAACACCAGAATATGAATTCTACTATATTCGAAGAGTAGATTAAAAATACACTACTTCCCAATATAACACCGGGCAGTATGATAGTTGTGGACAATCTACTACCACTCAAGGTTTCTCAAAGAAATTCCTAACAGTTCGTCTTCAAAACATGAACTAAAAGATTTCCTCTCTGATAATGATTTGTATTTTGAAGACAACTATAATAAGAAACAGTTACTTGAAGTGCTTCGTACTAAAACTTATACGAAACAATATATACTGGAAACTATTGCAATACAACATGGCCATACTGTTTTCAGGTTACCACATTATTTTTGCATATTCAATCCTATCAAACTTATTTGGGGACAAGTAAAAAACGGATTCGGAGGAAAAATAGTTTTCTAAAATTTGACGTATGACGTAGATACATTAAAATTGTCTGATATAACAAGTGCCTGAAACAAATGAGAAGCGTTGAAAAGCCCTGTAGAAGATGCCGTTGTATCACCTACTATTTTTTCCGACAGGGTGGTAGAGTAACAATTTTTTTTTACATTTCACTTTTAACCCTTTAAAAAACAAAGAAATATAATGTTTTGTTTTTCCAAAATCAGATTTTCTGCTCTTTGCCTATAATATACACATTACACATTGTTATTTTATGATTTAATACTTATATCAAAAAATTTGTGTCGGTGAAACAACCAATATAGCAATACGTACCTGAATGTCGGTTACTCGAATTTCATAACATATAAATATTATCTAAATCCACAAGGAAAATAATTCCTGCAGCTGACTGTATACCACGTATCACAAAAAAAGAGGTTAATCTTTGTAATTTGGTATATTTAAAAATCCTTAAAAGGGCTACATCAAAAAACACGAACGTTTTCAGAATGACAATTCCATCATCAGGTTTAAAAAAAACACCTAAAATAAGTATAAACCATAAATTTTTTTTAAACCTGATGATGGAATTGTCATTCCAAAAACATTCGTGTTTTTTTATATAGCCCTTTTAAGGGTTTTTAAATATACCAAATTACAAAGATTAAAATATTATCTGTTTGAATTTGCCGATGGACGAAATATCAATGGACCCGACTTTACCTATAATAGCGGGAGAAGTGAAAGTCAGATAGATTGTGTGCTGTGTAAAAGAAATCAGCTGGTGATAGTGGATACTGAGATAAAAGGAAAAGAAAGCATTTAGGACATCAAAAAGTAAAGTGGTGAAGGTTAAAGGATAAGGATTTGGCAGAAGCCTTCGAGAGTAGAGAGCTGGAAGAGTTTGAAAGAAATGAAATTGCAAATGACTGGTGAATCTGTTTATTCAGTGATAATGATGAAGCAGATACTTAAGTGAAAAGAAGGTGTGTAAAAAAAGCAAGCTTCCCGTCAATATTGCCCAAGAGTAGTTTCGACCTGTTTCGTTTCAAAAGAATGGAAAAAGTGTTATTCAGGCTAACTGAAAACGACACAATCAAAAAGTGTATTGCAAAAGAAAACAGGTATCTCAACTGAAAAGGTGTTAGTGTGGAAACTGGTCCTAATTGTCAATGCAAGTTTAAATGTTAAAAAAAAATAAGTGCAAAGACAAGCAGTTTGATTAAATTTTATAAGAGCAAAGATAAGTAGTTTTTTTAAATTTTAATGAAATAGAATACAACTAGATTAAAACCACATGCTTTGGAGGTTTATTTGCAACAAGCGATGTTGCCAGCATTCAGAGCTAAAAGTGGTGAGCGAATTCGTAGTGGTACTCACAAGTACTATATTCAGCTAGATATGAAAAGAATATGAGTTTGTAGTACTGCATTCGGAGCCATACACGAGATGGACACACAAGATCTAGAAAAAATGGCGCCGTTGTCGGATCGCATGGAGACAAGGATGCAAATGACAATGAAGATAGACTCATAAAAATATCTCAGTATTATATATTGAATACACAATGTACCTACTTGACAAATATAAAGACATAAGGTACATAAGGGATGAAGTTCTGGGTTTATAACTCTTTTCAACCAAATCAGCATGCATATACTTCGCAAAGATCTACCGATTCTGCACTGCATCAAGTAGTGGAAAGAATTGAAAGATCGCTGGATAATCAAGAATCCACCCTAGGTATTTTCACAGACATTGAGGCAGCGTTTGATAAAACCACATTTCCAACCATAACCCAACAGCTCAGTATCATAAGTCTTCCCTTGGTCGTAAACGAATGGATATTCAGTATGCTCTCTAATAAAGCAATAAGCATAAATGTAGGAGAAGGTTCTGTTAGAGGCATGGTTACGAGTGGGTGTCCCCAGGAAGAAGGGCAAGGATATAGACTTGCTAAGGTAACACTAAGTAATATTGAAAAGACAGCATTAAAGAAGTACTTGGGAATGACTAGGAAAAACCTACACATGACAGTTGATTTTTTAACTGGTCATTGTCAACTAAGCAAACACCTCCACACACTGATGCTAGTAGACACACCTATATGCACGAAAGGTGAACTAGAATCCCCAAAGTTATCGTTATTACGAGAGTAAGCGATTGGCGTGTCCTGGCCCACACCTGCCCACATAAAGGAAGATGTCCTCTGGTTACTTGTCCACCTTCCTAGAAATGGCAGGATGGACAATGATCTAAGGACGACAGCTCCCTGGGAGGATGCACAATATGTCAATTGTGGCCATAGTGCTGTGGGACTTAACTCGTCCCCCTCTATCCGTAAATTATTACTCTCTATCGGATTGGTTAAGATTTTTGTTTTTTGAAAATTGGTATGCAGGCCAACGTTTTTTTCTATTTTCCTCTGCTATCATTTTTTGAGCATCACTTAGTTTGTCAGTGATGGAGAAAATATCACTAGCAAAGTGGAGGTGATTCAAGTACTTTGCATCAATATTCACACCGGCACTATCCCACTTTAGATTTTCAAAACGTATTCTAGCATTGCTGTAGTTTGGCATTGTTTGTATTCGACATCAGTCGATTATTATAAACCATAAGTTAAGCAACTTACATGTGCAACACAGCGTTTAGAAAATAACATTTCTGTTCACATTATTGTTTAATAGGAAGATAGTTCGAGGTCATGACGTTTTTTTGTCAATTTTTAAGGTAATGAGGGCAGTATCAAAATGTGTACGTCTGCAAGAGACGCATACTTCAGGGTAAAGATTATCTCGCTAAAATTCGGTACATCGTTTCGCACCTGATATATAGACTGCCTTACATACATCTAAGCTACGGAGAGATTTTCTGGAAGATATATATGCACATTTCAACTAACGGAAAGAACAAAAAAATAATTATTAAATTGATTGCGTAGATAGCCGTCAGAATAGATGACACCTTTGTTTTATCGACGTGGCAAAGCTGAAGTAGCTGTAGCAATTGTAGTTAATTCTATTTACCAAAGACTTACACTGAACTTACCAAATAACGGAATTGATATTTAGGATAGACTTCTGGAATTCAGGATGAATATGATTAAATGTCAACGTCCTTGACTAAATAGTATTCAGGTTAGACATAGATATAATAGCGTCGCAAGAGACAAAGCTCACCAATAAGGTAAATTTGAAAACTCCAGAGTACGAGGTTTGTAGAAAAGCTTGCAGAGCAAATCAAGGTGATCTAACAATATTGATCAAATATTACATTGAGCATTAACTAATGACAGCTTCACGATAGCTGGCCACAATGCCAGCCAAAAATAATTTAAAAGGGACAATGCGCAATCACGATCACATCATTGTCAGACCACAGGATCTGGTTTTCGAAAAAGACCTAAATGCCATCTTAAATATGGAGGTGCCGTCAATGCTAATAGGAAACCTAAATGCAAAATCCCAAAATTGAAACAATAGGGCAGCCAACCTAAATATAAGTTTTTTCAATAACTATGTTGATATCAGACCAGAAACAATCGTCATGGAGCCCGATGAACCTGAACATGCTTT